CCCAAAAAAAAAAAAAAAAAAAATTTCTTTTCATTCATTGGAAGAATAACCTCTTACCACGATCTCGCGTCTCGCTTGGCGTCGGGACCTGTTGCAGGAATGGTTGCATTGCTGTCGTTGTTACGGTCGGATTGCAAGCAGCAGCAGCCACAGCCACAACAGCAACAGCAGCAACAGCAGCAGCAACAACAACACGCCAGCAAGAAGACTCGGCCTTCGTCATCGAGCACGTCGACAAGTACGACGACGAGGGGCGGTATCGTTCTGGCGAGCAGACGCGTGAGCAACACTTGGGACAGTAACAGCTACGACAGTGGAAACGACAATGGCGGTGGCGCACGCGCGTCCACGCGCGAGGTCGTATTTCCCGACTCGTTCGAGGTGTTGCCCCAACCTTGCGATCTGAGCGTCGTTTACATGGGCGTGCCGCACGAGCAACAACGAAAGTTCAGGTGTCAATTTTGCGGGAAAGGTTATAGGTGGAAGAGCACGATGCGCCGCCACGAGATGGTCGAGTGCGGCGGGAAACCGCCCGCCTTTCAGTGCCCCATGTGCCCGTACAAGGCAAGGCAACGCGGCAATCTGACCGTGCATTACAAGCGGCATCATCAAAAGATCGAGTACGATGAGGCCGCCTAAATTTTCTTGGCGCACGGATAATTAATTTTTGCGCTTTGCCGATACTTCTCCTTGGACGCTGAACAAATTATTTCGCAGCGTAGATATCTAAAAATAATCGATAATCTTTATGCTTGCGTGTGGTTTTTAATCGTAGCAGTCGTATGACGTTGATGGGATACGACGGCCAAATTTCGCCCTTTTTTACCGACAGATTTTATTGCGCTATGTAAAATTAGGTGTTATCATCGGAGAAGGTGTTTAAGCGGTTAAGTTTTGAGTAGTACAGGCTGATTTGAAATCTCTTTAAGAACATTCTCAATGATAAGTTTGTAGCCTTCAGGTATAAAGAAAAGGAATTATCGAAAGCAATTTTGCTTAAATATCGCGGTAATAATATCCTGTTTTTAACAGAAGAAAGGTAAATTGCTAAATTGAATTTGATTTGATAGCAATTGATATTTGTAACGTTCGCGAACGTTAAAATCTACATGCAAATATGAAATTATCAGTTATTTAGATTTTAGATGGTACTTTTTGAGTTCACTGACGAGAGAATCATCTTATATACATATATATATTTTTTTGTGTAAACGATTCCGTCTAGTTTTCTCTTTCATCTGATTTCCCTTATCGTGTCTAATTTTTTTTTTTTCGTTTCTTTTTCTTTTTCTTTTTCTCAGATTCTGTACATAACAGATGAAAACGCGTACGTGAAAGGAATCGTTTGATCTTTTTTTTTTCTCGAGTTTGTTACCTCAATACCGCGAATTTAACACGTATCTCGACGATCTGTGTACATAATAATAATAATCTCAGTTTATTTACCAATTTATTTAAACTTTCTTTAATATTTAGCAACGATCGTTTTTATACGATTTTAGTTAATCGATAACTAATTATACGTACGGAGGTCGATTATTTAACATTCGGATTTTCTTTTCTTTTCTTTTTTTTTCTTTTTTTTTGTTTTGCATTTAATTTCTCCGCGACGATCGTATCGCACGCGGCGCAAAACTGAAACGCGTTTCGCAGGGGCGAATCGAACACGAACAAATTCATTCGATCGCGAACGAATATTTTCGAGCCTCAGGATATTTTATTCGAGAGA